CCACTAACGAGTCACAAAATGTAAAAATTTCTATTTTTATGTTGTTTATCCCAAAATGAAAAAGAACTACAGTATTTCCTCCTAAGCAGTGCTGGTCAGGCACCGTGTGTGTAGCATGTAGCTAGTGGTGGGCAGCACTAATCTAAAAATTAGTTCCACTAGCCCTAAAACACTAACTCAAATATTTAGGTCCCCTAATTCTAAAGCACTAACTCAAAWATTTAGGTCCCCTAATTCTAAAGCACTAACTCAAATATTTAGGTCCCCTAATTCTAAAGCATTAATGCTCTGAAAGTTTTAGCAAAAGCTAATTCTAAAGCACTAAAATAACCCAGTCAACCCATGAACATTCTTCGACACACAACATGTGTCACATGTTGCCAAGACTTGTTGACATTCCTCAGCCATATTTGGGTTCATATGTTGTCAACATGTCACCTGGTGGATAAGTGACACACAGTTTTCACCGTCAGCTCTTAACATTAATGTTGATCAAAGAACTCAGTTAGTGCTTCTAAATTTAGCAAGTGCTAATCCACTAATAAATGTTAAAATTAGCACTAATCAGGAAATTAGTCCCCCTATTATTGCTTTAGGGGAACTGTGCCCACCACTGCATGTAGCCATGTAGCAACTAAACTTCGAGAGCATCAAAAACAAAACATTTAACAATTTTTTTAATTACAAATATAAAATGACTATGTATAAAACATGATAGAGAGAAAGAGTTTGCTATTTGTTGTGTTTATTAAATCAATAATATCAAAGAAATGCCTTTATTCTGAAAAGGTGAAACTGTCAGTATTATACCTCTGATTTGATGTGGCTGATTTGACACAAACGATCCCACCCATCATCAAATTAAACCAATAGAAATCAGCTGTCCCTCTAACTGCTAATACCGCTAATACGGTTAGCTTCCTCTAATTTTCTATCTTTTTAGCCATTTAGCTTTAGCTACTTCTTGTTCAGCAGATTAGTGGTTAGTGAAGCTAACTCTTGGGTTAGCTGTGCCCAACACTTTTGAAGACAGAAGGTTGAATATTAAATATATTACTATGAATGTTGCTCCATTTTGTTTCAAATATTGACTATGTTGTACGTTTTTTTGCCTAAGTTTCATTTTGAAATCTAGAGTCACCACTTTGCCCTGCAGGGGTACCTGTTTCGATTTCTGTAAATTAGCGACCCTTTACATCTGTAACCAGATGTTTACAAACACCGTCAAGAAAAAAAATTAAACTTTTTCTCATTGAGTCAAAACAGACTAAGCTTAATGTTTTAGGTCAGTTAGGATACCTGCAGTTATTTCGATTTGTCAAATATCTAAATAAAGAGAACAGTTTTCTACAGATTTTTTATTACGTTCTTTCAAGTCACAGGTTTACATATACATACAGCGGGTAAAATAAGTATCGAACACGTCACCATTTTTCTCAGTAAATATATTACTAGAGGTGCTAATGACATGAAATTTTCACCAGATGTTGGTAACAACCCAAGTGATCCATACATACAAAGAAATCAAACCATAAATGTCCAGAAATDAAGTTATTTGTAATAATGTGGAATGACACAGGGAAAAAGTATTGAACACACTTACTGAAATTTATCTAATACTTTGTACAAAAGCCTTTGTTGTCAATGACAGCTTCAAGACGCCTCCTGTATGGAGAAACTAGTGGCATGCATTGCTCAGGTGTGATTTTGGCCCATTCTTCCACACAAACAGTCTTCAAATCTTGAAGGTTTCGTGGACCTCTTCTATGAACTCTGATCTTTAGTTCTTTCCATAGATTTTCTGTTGGATTCAGGTCAGGTGATTGGCTGGGCCATTCCAGCAGCTTTAGTTTCTTTCTCTGAAACCAACTGAGAGTTTCCTTGGCTTTGTGTTTGGGCTCATTGTCTTGCTGAAATGTCCAGCCACGTTTCATCTTCATCATCCTGGTAGATGGAAGCAGATTTTTATCAAGAATGTCTCTGTACATTTTTCCACTCATCCTTCCTTCAATTATTTGAAGTTTGCCAGTACCATATGCTGAAAAACAGCCCCACACCATGATGTTCCCACCTCCAAACTTCACTGTTGGTATGGTGTTTTTGGGCTGATGTGCAGTGCCATTTGACCTCCAAACATGATGTGTATTCTGGCATCCAAACAGTTCAATGTTGGTCTCATCTGACCAGACTATATTCTCCCAGTATTACACAGGCTTGTCTAAATGTTGTGCAGCAAACTTTAAAGGAGCTTCAACATGCTGTTTCTTCAGCAGTGGAGTCTTGCGTGGTGAGCGTGCATACAGGCCATGGTGGTTCAGTGCATTACTTATTGTTTTCTTTGAAACAAACATACCTGCTAATTCCAGGTCTTTCTGAAGCTCTCCACAAGTGGTCCTTGGCTCTTGGACAACTCTTCTGATAATTCTTTTCACTCCTCTGTCAGAAATCTTGTGAGGAGCACCTGGTCGTGGTCGGTTTATGGTGAAATAATGTTCTTTCCACTTCTGAATTATGGCCCCAACAGTGCTCACTGGAACCTTCAGAAGTTTAGACATTCTTCTGTAACCGATGCCATCATTATGCTTTGCAACAATAAGGTTGTGAAGGTCTTGAGAGAGCTCTTTACTTTTACCCATCATCAGATGGTTCTTGTGTGATACCTGGCCATCATTTGGGACTGAACCAGCTGATATTAACTTGCACTGACAAGGGGCGGGCTTGTTTTCTAATTACTGAGAGAGTTCAGCTGGTGTCTTGGCTTTCCATGCCTTTTTACACCTCCCTTTCTTCATGTGTTCAATACTTTTTCCCTGTGCCATTCCACATTATTACAAATAACTTCATTTCTGGCCATTTATGGTTTGATTTCTTTGTATGTATGGATCACTTGGGTTGTTACCAACATCTGGTGAAAATTTCATGTCATTAGCACCTCTAGTAATACATTTACTGAGAAAAATGGTGACGTGTTCAATACTTATTTTACCTGCTGTTTTAATTTGTCTTTGAACAGTTTGGGAAAGTCCAGATCTGAGGTGTCCAATCTTGGTCCTTGAGGTCCACAACCACGCATGTTTTAAGGGATTCTCTGCTGCAMCACACCTGATTTGAATGAACGGGTAATTAACAGGCTTCTGCAGAACCTGAAGAGGTAATTCAGTCACTGAATCAGGTGAGTTGGAGCAGGGAATCCTTGTGGCCCTTGAAGACCAGGATTGGACCTCCCGGGCCTAGATGATGATGTCATGGCTTTGGAAGCAGTTAGTTCACAACATTTAAGTTAAGTGAAGACACCTGAGGACCATCGTGGTGCACTTCACAAAATAAATGGCCTCATAAGGAAATAACATTCTGTAGAGCTATTGAAGCAACATCTCATGACTTAAATGGGTCTTCAAATGGACAATGACCCTGAACACACAGCCTTCAGGATCATCAAACCCTGCCCCACATACCTGACCAGTTCCACCAGCTCTGCACAGAGCAACAAATAAAGTTCCAGTAAATCACGCTGAAGCCCAAATATCTGACCCAAGTCAAACAGTTTAAAGTCTATAGTATCAAATACTAACATGTATGTAAGCTTGTGACTTTGGAACTAACAAACCTAAAACAGGAAAGGTTTAGTCTGATTTAAAGCCAGTGTATGAACACAGTGAATGTAAACATCTGGTGGTTGACTTTGACTGAAGTACTCTTCATCAGGTTGCCTGTACCAGTCCATGACTTTGGTATTGTGACAGTTTAATATGAACATGTGTCATTACACCCCTTATTTACATATATGTTGTCTAATAAGTGGATATGGACTTCATGGTTTGGATCCCCAGGTCACATAGAGTTCTTAAAGTGATCTCTGACTACTGTCCCATGTTGGCCTTAATACTGTATGTTGTTATTTCTCTGTTCTTGTCTGTGACACATGAAAACTTTTAATAATCTATATGCCACGGTCATTAATGACGTATTTCCGGTAAAATTCTTGCCACGCTCCTCCCTTCCACTCCCTGCTTACTGCCTATGTTTTTACCGTTAGCTCCTAGTACTAGTCCGTGAAAAAGTCACAAAAGTTGAAGCATCTGTGATCTACTGGTATAAAACATGAGTTCTGTTGTGTGCCGTTGTGTCCACTAAGCAGCAGATACGATCGAGTAGTTAGTTTTTCTCCTTTTTCCTCTTGATGAGGAGGTGACAGCAGTGGATCATAGCATTACAGGGAAAACTTATCTTTAAAAGCTCACACTTGTGTTTGTAATCAGCATTTCTAACCTGAGGATATTCAAGAGACAGCATCAGAAATGAGAAGACGGAGGTTACAAAAGGGAAATGTACATTTATCCCCTTTTACTGCCAAGACGAGAGAGGAAAGACCTCCTCCACACGACAGCTAGCAGGAAGCTAACATGAAGCTAACACAACAGCCTGTACAAAGGTACAGTAGGTGTGTGTGTGTGTGTGTGCATGCGTTTGTGTTATACGAAATGTTTTTATGCGACTTTGTCATGAGTTTTATGCAAAAGTAAAAACTTGTTAGAGTGTATATTACAGTGTAGACTAAAGCTAAGTGACGAGCCCCCGAGCACCGAGAGCAGCAGAAACTCCGCCTGATAATCATTACGTTTTCAGTTCACTAACGTCTGGGAAAATGATCCAAACCACACAAGTAGCACATCGATTTAAAGCCCAGACTCTGCTCTTTCCAACAATATAAGTGTCACAGCTCTACGTGAAAAATTCACAGAACAAGCAGCCAMRGAATAGYGAAAAAGGCTAAATTCTGGAACCATAAACACRAACRTCTTTCCTTTGTTTTTATGKCTTTAATCCACTTTGGAGTGATTTTTTTCCACTTGGCTGGACCTGTACATCTCCTGTGTTAATGTTGGTACATGTAATATGCTAATTCTGTACTGTGGAGATCATTAAGAGTCGTTCTCGGGTGAAAAAATCTTTCGCTAACACTGTGTTGACCATGAACAGAAGTGTTGGGAGTGGCATCAAGTGCTGGATCGGAGGTCCGTGGCATATAGGCTATTGTTTAAAAATCTGTAGATTTTTTTTTTTACATTTTTCACTTCAGCACGTCACTATTTTTAACTGACGCAATGCATTCTGGGGGTGATGATGTCAAACAGGTTGAAGCTAAAACTAAAACACAGAGTCAAAGCTAAAAAGCTGCTCAATGAACATGTTTACTATGTTAGCGCTGGAGCTAACAGTGAAGCTAACAGGCTAAAGCTGAGATTCTTCCATGAAGCAGCTCTGCTGCTGGGTTCACAGCGAAGCAGTCAGTTTACCCACAATGCTTTGTGGCATAAATCCCAGCCTTCAGTGTTTTTACAGTCTGGTTTCATAGTTGAAGTAAATGCCAATAAGATGATGTTTAATAACAACTCTGTCAGAGATCACTTTAAGTTGTTACTACTATAATGATCACATGGCCTGTAGAGATGCTACCACCTCCAAGGCTTCAGTAGGGTCTCCACACGGCTTCWGCAGCAGCCATGCTTGTTGGGGAGCTACTGTGGCTGGACTCCACCTCCACACTCACCCCCTCATTCTGATTGGGTAAAGAGGGGTGCAGGAGGGAGGAGCCTGTGGAGGCATTGGTGCACGGCGGCAGGATCCTCGGYGGCGAGCGTGAGTCACTGCTGCTTCCTCCTCCAGCCATCATGGAGAACTGGTACGAGCCGGTGGTGGTGGAGTAGTACAGGTGGTACGGCGACGACGTGGACTGGAAGGGCCCGTTCTGAGCTTGGTGAGGGGTGTTTGGCGGGTAGGGAGGAGGCAGGTATGTGTGGTACCGCCCCGTTGGGGTGGTTGCGATCGCCGTAGCCATGGTGAGGCCGAGCGCGCCGTTAGAGACRGAGTTGTGGGACGGCGTGTAGGAAAAAGCAGCTGCTGTGGGGGGGTAGTGCACTCGAGGGTCGGAGAAACGGGAGTCGGGCAGGGAGGGGAGGGAAGTAAACGGTCGTTCTAAGGTCATCCTAGGGTCACCAAAGGCYGTAAGGTCAGGACCTGAGTGAAAGCAAAGGTCCAAGATTAGAAACGTACTCACTTCCTGTTTTGTGTGTGTGCTTTGTGTCGTGTTACCTGTCAGTCTTGAGGACAGATCACCAAGGGAGGAGCGACCAGGTGAGAGTGGGTTGGTCGTGTGAACAGTAGGAGTAGTTATCTGACCGAGGTATGAGTAGGACTGATCGTAGGACCAAGATGGAGATGACTGCATCTGTCTGGAATCTAGAAAACACAAGAACAGAGAAAACACGTCAACATCTACATTTAAAACCAAGACTTATCCCACAGTCCAAATCTGAAGCCAGCAGAGTCCTCATAATCCACTAAATCAAAATAGAGCTTCACCTAAACATTAAAATAGCGCAGAAGCTAACACTAACGGCTAACCGTTAGCTGCTAAGATGACTGTCACGCAGTCTGTGTCTCATGTCTGGCTGTGTCTCAATTCACGGGCTGCATCCTCACAACTGTGTAGCCCACCTGGACCACATCCTTCAAAGTCCGGATTTATTTAACATTTATTGCAGTGTAAGAAAAATACGTATTCAATAAACTGAAGTTGATATTAAAAACACCATTGTTAAATAAAATGATTTGTAGAAGGAATCAAACCATACAACACCAGAATTCTGGATCTGAGTGAGGTTTATTGTCTCCGGAGCTGACAGGAAACCACACTGGCGAAAAACCAGGAAGTTCATCAATTTATACATGTTCTTCAATGCCTGCGTTCGCCCCCTACTGACCTACGACTGAATCACAGGCATTCAGACAAAATTCTCATCTAATGTCCTCACAACGTTTGATTATGTGTTGTTATAATTCGGATATGTAACTAATCTATATCAATCAAAACATAATAGATTAAACATTGTCAACATTATAAAAAGGAAAACCTAAAAATATAGTGTTGTGCTTTTAACATCAGTACTAACCTCTAATAACTATAAATTTCTTCAGCAGTATAAATGTCATCAGTTAAATTGCTAAACTTACATTTAAAAACAAACTCTTTGGTCCATGGGGAATTTACAAACTACGCCGACTTGGTAAAAAAATAAAAACTCTGCCGTCTTTGTTTCTCTGTTTAGTTTGTTGTCGGAGCATTGAATTCTGGGATATCCTCGGCCAGTGATGATTGTCTGATGTATCCTTGATATTTGAGGTTTTGTGGGCCGCAATCCTCGGCTGCACAAGGAGGAGCCCTGGAATTGGACAGCACTCAGCGTGGGGCAGTGACGTATGACAAACGTGTACTCATGAAGACCCAGCCCATGAATTGACACAGCCTTTGTCTACTTTCAGCCGARGACTGGTAGGACTGGCACAAACCTGCTGTTGGTGAGCTGTTAGCAGACTTGAATTGGCTTATGCTAGTTAGCTAACAGCAGCAATAACTATTCGTTTAGTGGATTAGCTTTATCACTAACTTTTGAAAACTTGTTAGCAGACCAGTTAGCTTCCGTTAAATTAGGTTTTGCCAAATGTAAGTGCACTAACAGCTAACCAACAAGCTAACATCAAAAGATTTCAGCCAAAAGGAGTCGACAGTCAGTTAGCCATTGATCAACCATTATCTGTTAGCGTTAGCTTCTGCAATTTACAATTTTTTTTCCACGTTTAGCCTTAATGAAGCTATTTTTAATTAGCAAATTATGAGTTAGCTAAGCTAACCTTTTGGTTAGCTGTGCCCACCACTTATTTTAAATTTATAATTTTCTGTAGCAGCACCAAAATAATTATTAGTGTCATTCGCACAAGCCATAAGTTTATTATTTTAATCTAGGCAGACTTAAACATTGAGCTGGGGGTTAGGTCAAACCATCAATCAGACCTCCATTTAACTTTGCTCTGAACGTCAGGCTGCAGTCAGGAGTATACGGGATCTCAGGAGCTTGAGAAGGTTTCTGGGASAAGGGCTGTTTGAGTTTCCCTCCTAAACTGATTGCTGCTGTGATCCAATGATAGATCAGTTTAATCTGAGAAATGGCTCGATGGATGGATGTTCAAATCTACCATAATTAACCAAACCTTCATGAAGGCGCTCTAGATATTCAAAATCATWACATCCCAGAGGTGTCAGTAATTGGAACAGGTGTAATATAGTTAAAACAGGAAATTCCCTTTTTCATAATTTCTGACAGTTACGAAATTTATTTTAAATGTAATTTCTGCTTTACAGCTTTCTGCCAGCTGGCTCTCATTTCCTTCCAGCAACACAACTTGCTTCCTCACAGACCCAAATGTTTGTAACACACACACACACACACACACACGCACGCACACACACGCCACACACACACCTACTATGTCTCTCTATCCTTGTGGGGACTATCCATTGCCTTCCATTCATTTTTTGCATATTTTATATCCTAACCCTGACCATTTATCCTAAAATTAACCACACAGGTACCAACCTGACCCTAAAACTAACCTAAACTCAATTCACACTTTGGTCCTAAACCCAACCAGGCTTTGGTCCCCACAAGACGCATTTGGTCCCCACGAGGTTGCATTTTCCTGAAAAATCDTCCCCACCAAGTAGCAAAAACAAGGGCACACACACACATGCGTAATCGTGTATAGGACTAACATTCCATAACCAACATTCAGCGTCACCACCTATGAAACCCAAAGAGGAACAGATTCTGCCTCGTGGTTCCACTTTGGGTTTCCACGGCAACCACAACGAACACACACATACGTGCAAAGAGACCACAATGGATCTGACCAAAACCACAAGGAGGAACTACGAGGGCTGATGCAAGTCGTGTGCAAAGGTTGGGAAATTCACACACACGCAAATGCACCGACACATACACACTCGCTGGTACTTTCTGTTTTGGTGCAGGATTTGATTTTTTGTTTTTGTCCCCACAATAATATTTATCAAATTAGCTCGAGAACAAAATGTGAATGAAAAATTTAACTTTTCAAAACAACTTTTTGTTTAATAATTTCAGAAGTGTTGCATATATACATAGATATATACACACTTGAGGCAATATCCCRCAAATTGTGATTGTTTGGGGACAAATGGGTGAAAAAAATTCCTTAAAATTGAGAGAGGAGACATGATKATGAGCTGCAGAAGTGTCCAATGTGTCTGTAAAAAAATGGTGACATAAAGTGAAAAATGTTATAAACATRTACAAATTATTTAAGTAATTAGGAGTTTTCATGTGTCACAAAAAAACAAATTTTTGTGAAACAGAGAAATAATAAATTAAGACCAACATCTCAGCATGATGGCTCAGGCCTCCTTTGCAAAAGAGATCTCTGATCTCAGTGGGATTTACCTGKTTAAATAAAGGTTAATAACATAAAACAAAAATGTGACAGCAGTCTGAGATCACTTTAAGATGCTCCAAACTCAGCTGACAGGACTGTGTTTCTCTGTGACTCGTATGAGGAAGTTGAGAGCGCCGCACAAGTTGCAATACATTCTGGACTCTCTTGTGAATGGTGTTGGCCAACTTCTCACAGTCCTATGAGATAACACCTTTAGATTTCTAAATGCTCTCTGAAGCCKAACGACTCAAATCTCCTAGTGGTTTTGGCTTACCGGCTGTTATTTGAGAGTGTGGAGGGCTGGAGAACGTAGCCGAGTTGAGAACCGTGGGCTGGCGGCCGTTGGCAGAGGGTTGATGGTGGTGGTGGGGGTGGTGGTGAGGAGGGGTCACCCTGATGGAGCTTCGTCTCAGCTGCTCCAGCTCCGTTAGCCTCTCAGAGAACGCCAACGAGCCAGCTTTAACCTCGTCCATTTTCTGACGATGACCTTGGAGAGAAACAGGAAGAAGATTCAGTGAGAGAATACAAATTATTCTCATACTGTTCCAACAGTTATGGTGTAGGCCCAGCTATATGAGTGTCTACTGTCCCAACAATGTTAACCAGTTWACAGGTACCACATAACAAAACTGCCATGCCTCTGTCGTCTGATCAACAGTTGCTTTGCTACARCTTGTTATGTAAGCAAAACCAAATAAGTCTTAAGTCTTGTGTTTCATCACACAAAGCAGGACAAGACTTCTGTGTTGCAACAAGTTCCTCACTGACTCAGGTAACAACTCATCGTGTCTTATAGTGTAATTATTCAGAAATGGAAGAGGTACAAAAATGACCATCAGTCACCCTCATTGTTCCGAGGTAAGAAGGGTCCCYGAGAACAATGAGGAATCAGGAAGAACTTGTTATTGATCTGAAGACACCTGGGACCACAGTCACCAAGAAGACCATTGGTAATGGATTGAAAAACCAATCCTACAATGAAGAACTGATGGTGGAAACATGCTTTGGGTCTGTTTTATGTCRTTGAGTACAGGGATACTTCACAGAACTGAGGGGTCAATGGACTGGAACATCCATTTATCACATTTTACCCACACGTTTAGCAGTCATTKTGCGAGAGGTAGGGTACGCCCTGGACAGGTTGCAAGTCCATCACCAACCATTAACTCTCTCACTCTTAGTAATCCTTTCTGTTACCCAAACCTGTACKCAAAAACCTAATGCCCGCCTCGCAAAACTTGACACAGAGTCCCACAAGATCACTTGAGACACTCTGAAATGCAATATTTGAACAAAAATGTCTATAATCACAAGGCCAGTCATGAAGGATGTCTATCAATTTGACAGGTCAAGATAAGTAAAACACACTTGATTTCAGCTCTACAACCTTCCTTTCAGGACTTACATTTTTCTGATCCTTTTTTTAACCTTTTCACAGGATCTTAAGACCTGTTGCAGCTAGCAACATACCATCTTCGCCAGAGTGCCTGACCCTGTCCAAAATCCCCCAGTTAGACAAGTTTTACACTCATATTACCCACGCTTCTCGAGTTATTCACATTTTGTCCCACTGTTAACCCTAAGGCCGCGTGAGATCCGTATAAATAAAGCACAAACTGGCAAAATCTTGACTAGGCTAAAGTTCAAGGTTCACCCCCAGTGAGCCAAAAACATTGCCCAGACCCCAACCCTTAAACACTAAACCAAACTGGGCCCTAAKACTAATTCTAACCCTTACCCAAACCTGTACCCAACTACTCCCAATTAACCTAGCATGCATGTCTTTGGTCTGTGGGAAGAAACTAGAGTATCCGGAGAGAACATGAAAACCACAACCGCAAAGGTCCCTGGTTGGGGTTCAATCCAAGAACCTTCTTGCTGAGAGGCAACATACCAATGAACAGGTACATTTACAGTAAAACATTGAACAAGAACCTTCTCACTGAGACTGAGAGGCAACATATATACCAATGAATAGGTACATTTACAGTAAAACATTGAACAAAAATCGTCTTGCCTCATCCAGAATACTGAAGGTGTGTCATGGGTGGGACTCAAAACATACCACCATGGCAAAAAAAAAACTTAGGCAAAAAGAGCACATTTAGTTCATCGAGTAATGCTAAAAATGGATTGAACACTTGTAATGCCTGTTGGATCCCATCTACTCCACATCAATGTTTCCCTGGCAAACTTAAGATGGACCTGAACAAACAAATCAACTTCCCTGGAAACAAAAAATATACATGCAATTGAACTTTGTGAGCGTAACATGTCTATGTCAGATCTACTTACGCCGAGGTTCTCTGGGACCATCAACTGTAATTTTAATAGCCCTCTGGTATGTAGCCACCTGGGTGGGGTTGGTGAATACAGTGATTGTCAAAGTGAAACTCTTGCCTATAAAAACAGAAGAAAGGAAGGTAAGCCATGCACATAAAGGAATAAGGCAAAGATTATCAACAAAAGCACAACTGAAATAATCCAGAAAGCACACACCACATCAATGTTACAAAATAATTCACAAGTCATTGAGTGAAATTAGTATTCGATCTTCTACAAACTGGCCACATATTGGTTACGTGCCCCATGAGGCACACAGATCAGTCAGTCGATCAAKTGATCATTAAATCTTGATCTGTACTTAGGTGTATAAAGCAAGCCTGTTCACAAAATCAGTTWCTTCCATTTCAAACTGTCCACTAAAAAGCTGGCTAAAGACTAGAGAACATAGATAACCARGAACATAGGTACCRAGGAACATAAGTACAAAGGAACATATGTACCAGGTAAAGTAGATACCAAGAACATAAGTACAAGGTAAAGTATACACCAAGGAACATAAGTACAAAGGAACTAAGKTACCAGGGAACATAGGTACTAACTCTTTTTGATCATTTGTCTTATGTGTAGCTTCTTGTACTCCAAATTAGATTGWACTTATARGCTTGTAAAAATGTAGAATGTGRTATACCTCATTTAAAAAGGAGTAAACCGTCCACTAATGTCTGTACTACACGTTTCCTGATTTGTTCAAAAGCACATCTGAGGAACTTTTTGGGGATTGTGCTGAGCAGTATTAATAATGTGTGTCTTCAAAAGTTGTTTTACCTCTATTCCTCTATACGTCTGTCTCTCACACACATAGGGAAATACAGCATTTATTGCTCGTGTTACTTTCTTTTTTACAACTGTCATTAGGTCCGAACCCTAACCCAAACACTTTGTTAACCAAGCTAGGTTTATGTTGTCTAAACATACTCTTTCCAAAATGTTGCATGTAATGTATTCAATTGGTTAGTCCTTTGTTAATCTAAGGTTGCATTAAAAAAGGACTTAAAGCCCRTTATTAGGAACATAAACAACATTTTTCAGATGCGTCATGACCTACAATGTCTGTTTTTTGCTTTTTGTACATAGGCTATTAAGGTAGATGTGAAAAAATTGTAGGTTTTGAGTCTATAAATCTTGAATTTTGAAATAGGACCTTTCATAATGTGTCTGTAATTTCCTTTCATGGGATCAGTAAAGTATCATTCATTCATTCATTCATTCATTCATTCATTCATTCATTCATTCATTCATTCATTCATTCATTCATTCATAATCTGTTCTCATAATCTAGTTGTAAACAGCTGCATCAGGCCATCAAATGAAAATATTTTACTGAATGCTAAGAAAATAAATCACAATCTCAAAGATTTTCTTACCATTTACCCTTATGTTGATGTTTGGTATTGGCCACAAGATGGCACCCAGGACAAACACCAACAGTAAAACAATTTACTGTGTATTCTGTATAATTGTATAAACAATATATGTAAAAAAACATGTATTTTAGTTGTAGATTTGGTTTAATGAGGTTTGATAAGGAATGAAAGTCTGTTGCATCACACATAGATGATTTTAATGTGTGTTCCTGGTTTTTGCTTTTTTTTTCCTGATATAATCACAAATCGTGTCAGGACCAGTCCAAATACTCTATGTTGGAGGGTCATACGGAAGTTAGGGTTTAGGGGTTAGGGTTAAAGTACATAAATGAATGGAAGCCAATACATGGTCCTAATAAAGATAGAAATCAAACAGTGTCTGTGTCCTTGTAAAAAATGCCMGACCTGTTTAAAAGAGGAACTAAAAGGGAACATGAAAACTAGCTGCGTCTGTGTGTTCGCAAAGACAAAGATAAATATCCAAACTGCACMAACTAACCGAACCATAAAATGAAACAAACAGCAGTTATGTGTGTGTTGACGGGTTTAATTTCTGCTTTTTTACCTGTTGCTGAGAGGACACAGAGCCAAACGGCATGACTATAGGTCCTGTGTGCAGAGCTCACTCGACAAGCCTGTTTGATATGTTTGCATTTATTATGGGTTGAATCATATCTTCAGRATTATTGCTAATCTAACAGAATGTTGAATAAAAACTGCCACAGATAGCTATCAGTGAATATCAGTGTAACTGTTGTCCATTAGGCTACAGTTCATACTATCAGTGATGCTTTAAGGGACATTCAGACATTTCTTTCTGGCAAGAAAATGTTTAAAGATTTAATAAAGCCTTAAGACAGAATTAGTTTTACCAAAACATTAGCTTCACTGGCTGCCAATCACTAATATTTGTTACTGGATTGGAAGTCATGTGACCTGGACGTTCTACACAAGGCAGACCTCTATGCACTGAGCTAACACTAAACCACTGTCATCAATAAAGAGATGTGATAAAAAAAAAAACGTATAACTACATCTTCTAAAGTGCTTTAGGGCATTTTCCTATTTCTGACCACTACAAGGATTCAAGTCAACAACAACTACAGACAGTCTATAAAAATTAAAATTATTTTTAATATTTTAGAGAATATATAATCTAATGTATATAAAACTATCAGAAAGCTGTGTACGTTATGAATGTACCATTTCACAAGTAAACAGAATTGAACTTATTTACCTCAATGAGATCTGAGCAGAAGTGAAGCTAATAATGTACCAGTTTAAAATTAAAATAAGCTTATAAAGCCAATGTAATCACTGATAATTATTGAATTGGTTAGCAGATATTAGCTTCTGTAGCATATATAGTTATACAGAGTGTAGCACTCTGCTGAACCCTGCTACAATTTAACACAAATTATTAAATAGTACAAGCTGATTTGTCCTCTGATTTCGGTAATATTTAGACAGTGTAAAATAATATCTTATATTTAAAGTGATCCCCGATTAGTTGTAACATTAGACTTTATTTAATAAACATATACTTTAACTATAAAATAAAGACTGTAAAAATACTGTAGGATGTTCAGTTTTTATAAATTTTAAACTTAAAGTTTAAAAATATATTTTAACACGGACGGAGCCATTTTATTTACACTCAAAGCATTCTGGGTAAATGACATCAACTAGGTCATCGGCACGAGGCTGCTAGCGAGCTATATCCACCCTGAAGGTTAATCTTGGACAATATCTGATGATCGACTCTTTTAAATGAAACCAGAGAGCGTTGACAGAGAGGAGAAGGTAGAAATGACTCAGCCTGGAACTGAAAATATGGATGGAGGACAACAGAGCTGCTTCATGGAAGAAGAACCTCAGCTTAGCCTGTTAGCCTTCGCGCTAGCCCTCATGCTATATTACCTTATATGTATTAGCTCAGCGCTAGCGCAACAGACTAACAATCTAAACTGAGGTCCTCCATATCACACTGACGATTTAAACTATTTTAGACAAAAATGTTAAATTTAGGTCAAAAATAGCAAGGTATTACCCTTAAGACACAATTTAGACAGTTTATTTGTTTAAAAAAAAGTTGATTTTGGGTTAAGTTACACTTTAAGCATTTTTAGTTTTCTGTTAGACAAACCTGACCTGTTGATAAGCTGGTTAGCTAATATATAGTACAGACCAAATGTTTGGATACACCTCCTCATTCAAAGAGTTTTCTTTATTTTCATGACTGAAAATTGTAGATTCACACTGAAGGCAGCAAAACTATGAATTAACACATATGGAATTAAATACTTAACAAAAAAGTGTGAAACAACTCAAAATATGTCTTATATTCGATGTTCTTCAAACTAGCCACCTTTTGCTTTGATTACTGATTTGCACACTCTTGGCAYTCTCTTGATGAACTTCAAGAGGTACACACAAAATCCTAAAGACGCTACATGCGTGTGACACAGCCGTGCAGCACTGCATGTGTGAGGGGATAGTTGTTTTTGTTTTCATACATAAGGTTAGCAGAAATAAATTTAGCAGAAGGTAATTGGTGCGCTAAGAGTTTTCAAAATAAGAGAAAATGTTAATCCGTAAAACAAAAAGTTAGCTTCACTATTATCTGTTAGCATATTAGCTGAAACTTTGGACAGTACTGTTCAAACGTTATTTTGTATGACTATAGTTAGTGTTTAAGTCAATAATGTCTTACAATAACACATAATTACATAAATTTCCTGACTTTTAACATTCTTTAAGGAAAAAAACAGTGGGCTGACTGTGGGCAGTCCTAATGGCCCTACCGCCAGATTTAGCAGGTTTTCTGGGGGGATCTCATTGGTATTGGCAATATTAAAATCTGGAGTGATACTCCTACCTCAAAGAAATGACGATTGTCACTATAAAGAAAACCAATTAATGTTAAATATGTATCCCATTTAGTACCTCACAAAAAATTGCATTTGCCACCTTATGAAGCTGATATTGGTCGTAAATGAGCAAAAAATTAAGATATAAAAAACCTAACYTTAATGCTTCCTTGGATTACTTTGAAACTCACTGAATTAAAACATTGCTGAGAATGAGTAATGCTGAGAAAACTACACAGTTCAAGTGTACTATATGAATATACATTTTTTAAAAATGATTTTAACAATACAGTGCGCTCTATAAAATAAAAACAGTTATTGTTCAATTTTCTTAGGACTGAGGAGTTGTTATCGAGTCCATGTGTAAAAGTGTAAGTGCAGTTTGTGTATACAGGCCTGGTGTTTTAAATAGATAAGTAGAGACATTTGCCTATGACTGATTTAGAGTAACTGTGGTCTAGTGTGTCCGTTAAACTCAGAAAGGTGGGGGTGGAGAAGAGTTGGGCCAAATGAGGTAGACATCAAACAAAAATTTAGGAGGAAGTTGACTGAATAATGTTTTTCCCCACTAGTACTTCCCTTACTGTATCCCATTCTGTGTTAAGCTCTTGTGCAAAGCAGAGCTATTAAATGTCCCACAACGTGCGGTCGAAACGCCACTACTATTTACACGACAGTTACAGCAGAGGTCCTAAACACACATTTTTAAATTAAATCTAAATATAAAATCATGGAATAGCTGTAGAGATAAAGTATAATTGGTCAAATATGTCCCACATTTGGACTTCTTTACCGTAAATAAAACACCCTCAYAGCAAAATTTGTCTGGCCCACACAAGGCAGTAACTGTCGACCCAAATACCACAAAGAGTGACGGCATCTCCAGATGTGGTTTGCCAGAAGTTGTCAATGCRTGGGCCAGCAGCACACAAACCAAACCACAACTGGGCCAGTTGTAGCATGCCATCTTAAAATCAGTGCCATCATTGCCAGACCTGGCCCACACCAGTCTGCTATGTGGATATTCGTCCACATCTTGACGCACCTCTTCCACTGCGCCCCACAAAGCGCAGGTCATTGAATCGGGCTATTTGGTTCTTGATGGCGGCCGTGGCGTTCCGAAGTTCTGCCGAGTAATTCTCGTCATTACCAGCCATCACCGTAACCAAGGTGCCGTCGGGGATATCGCCCAGGGCCACCACCTGCAGACAGATGAGGAAAAATACAACAAAAAACTTTTAAATTTGTTGTATTAGGATTCTTGTTTATTTAATGGAACACTGCACCTTTTATTGATGTTTTTACACTTTGGAGTGTGACTGTGATCAATGAAGCTGAGTGGACATGATTTTGAATATCAGGGCAAAGACCAACTATGTGTTGAAAGGAACGACCTTCAGATCTCAGAGGAAGGATTCCTCCATAGCACAGATTGAGAGACATCTATGAAAACCATTCCTGTTGCACCAAAGGTTCATTTGACCTAACTAGGACAGCTTTATGAGTTGGTCTACCAGCCATGGAGAGCAACCAAGGGAGACCTTTGTGAGAGAAGATACCAAGAAAACTGTATGAAGAACCTCAATTGTGATGAACAAGGTTCTCTAGAAACCGAGATTGAGCTGTTTGGTCTAAATTCTAAACCTAATATCTGGAGGAAACCAGGCTTGATACCATCCCTACAATGAAGCACTGTGGTGGAAGCATCATCCACATAGCTCTGGACCAAAGGTTCACCTTTCAACATGACCAATGACCCAAAGCACACAGAGAAGATATCCAAGGAGTGGTGTAGAGAAACTTATACAAAAGTCACAAAACACAAAACTACTAAACAAAAAACTAGTTTTGCTAATTGCTGTTAGCYGATATGCAAAACCATGCTCACCACTAAGTATTTGCATAGGAAACTTTCGCAAACCCAACATTCACTTAATTTTTACTGCTAACTGGCAAACTACATATTGGATATCCTTTTTACTATTTGAGAAAAATAATACATTTATATGTAAATACAAAAAATTCCCAGCTATATTGGAGTATGTGGGACGTTTTGATGGTTGTAGGCATTTTCAAAACCCCATATTTATCCAGGTCTTAGATAACTCACAGTTTTATAACTTTGTAGTACAGCAACTAACTGGTACTGACCACTTGATAAGTCCAACTAAATTTCTGATGGGTTCTGAGACCGCTTCAAATATATTTCAACTGAAAAAGCATCCTTAAGATACCAGTCATTTATGATATGTAACATTCAGAACACCAGACAGCACTTTTTTTTCCTCTACACCTACTGATTTATAGACATATAGAGGCTGATTTCCATAATAGAAACACACAGGCCATCTGTGTGCAAATGTCCATGGCAGATGCTGCACTGATGGCTTCTCTTAACCTTGAACTCTAAGCAAACAAGTGCAGCACTTATTGACTGACACACTGCATTAAACTGTGAGTTAAACCTTGATTTTGGTGCGAGCCAAATAACAAATCAACGTTGCTTTCTTGATAACCTACAAAACACAATACATGTCTGAGCTACTGGATGGCCTTCAGCAAAGCAGCAATGGCTTTGACTAGAGTCCTTTGGTCTGTAGAGAAGTTCATGACTGACTGAATAACAATAAMTCCAAGGAGACCAAACCATCAACCCTCTACCACTGTGCTTCACCACTGGTATGAGGTGTTTATAATGATAATTGTGTACTGTGCACGTCTTTAGTCAAAGTACACAGCATACTGTTAGGAGTATACTGTGTTCATGTCCTTTGTCAAAGTACACAGTATAAGGTTAGGGGTAAACTGTGTATATGTCCTTAGTCAAAGTACACAGTATACTGTGTACATGTCCTTAGTCAAAGTACACAGTATACTGTTAGGGGTATACTGTGTATGCTTACAAACCTAGTCACTCCACTGCTACAACTCTTGTTCATATGGTTGACAATTGGTATCAAGAAATGGACAAAGGTAATCTAGTTGGTGTCATATKTTTGGACTTTARYGCAGCATTTGATCTGATAAATCAAGATCTTCTCATTGATAAGTTAAGATMTTACGGACTATCAACTAAGTCCTTGTGTTGGATCAGAGATTATCTCACTGACAGAAACCAACATGTTTTTATAATGTTTTTTTTTGTCCAATAGTTGTGAGATCCACTGTGGTTTGCCTCAGGGTAGCTCTCTTGGACCTCTCCTTTTTTCAGTTTSTAAACTGATTGCATGGTTATTCACAGATGAACCTCACTATGAAGAGCGCTGTCTTGGAGCAAGTCACACAGGTTAAATTACTTGGCATCACAGTGGATCATCACTTGACATGGTCTCATCATATTGACAAAATAAGTAGTAAAATGGGTAAAGGTATTGCTGTTGTCAGAAGATGTTCGCCTTTTGTTATTCCATCAGTTCTGAAAGAGGTTGTGCGATCTTTAGTTCTGTCTCACTTAGACTATTGTTCAGTTTTATGGTCTGCTGCTAATAAATCAGATTTGTTAAGGTTRCAGGTAGTCAAAATAAGGCTGCTCGCCTAGTGTTAATATGTCTATTTCATACAAGCATTATAGAAATACACCGTAGTTTACTGTGGCCATTACTGAAGGTTAGGTTGCAGTATAATTTACTTACATTTATAAACAAAGTTATAATTACTAGGAGGCCTGAATCAGTGTATGAAAAGCTCATTTACTCTGATCAGATACATAATTATGTTACTAGATACTCTTGTGAAACAAAACTAATTGTAAATCATGCTAGAACAAACTTRCTACAAAAATCAGTAGTTTATAGAGCTATTCAGGWATGGAATAAATTACCTAAAAACATTAGATATCTAAAAAGCACATGTTCTTTTAAAAGAGCACTGAAATCTTATTTGTATTAAATTTTATTTTGTCATTATTATTRTTATTATTATTATTGGTTTTATTTTGTTTTTAACTAGGCTTATGGTTGTAATTTTGTAAAATGTGGAATTTGATTAYTTTCATGTATATTTTATGTCATGATTTTATGCGTTGTATAAATATTTTATGTTATATCAGTTGGACCCCAGGAAGATTAGCAACCATCTTGGTGGAAACTAATGGGGATCCTAATCAATAAMCAAAACAAATAAACATGTCCTTAGTCAAAGAGCACAGTATGTGGTTAGGAGTATACTGTGTACATGTCAAAGTGAACTTTCAACAAAGTTAACTATTTGTTGAAAGCAGTTTAATCCCTGTAATATTAGATTGGTTGCTTTTAACAAGGTATTTATTTCTCCTCTCATTTTTGCAAAGGATGGAAATCCGATGGAAACCGTTGTGGCAGTGGAGAACTTTAATCCACGCATGTTCAGTTTTTAGAGGTTTTCCTCTGCCAGCCTTCTAAATCRTAATTCTTGAGTCATTTTCCAGCTCTCCTGTCATGACCTTCGATCTTTAACCTGATTCATWTCATGCTAAGTAAAAATATTACTTTTTTACACTAACTGAAGGAAAAAAAATTGCAGATGCTAATGCTAAACAAGTAAATATTAACAGAAACTAACATAACTGCTAATGGCTAATTGCTAAGACAATCTGCATCACAAGTCTTCATCTCCTTCCAGCAGAAGACTGGTGGGACGGAGACAAACCTGTTGATGTTAGCTTCTTAGTTAGCAGAAACCTATGTTAAGTTTTAAGATATAACAAATGTACACGGTCTGCATGTTTGAAAGTATGGATTATACTGTACAMTCTWAYTGCTTGCCATACCTGCACCTTGTCATCGATCCACAAACTCACCAATCAAAAGGTTGGCTTTACTAAGTCATTATCTTGCTAACTAAACATTGAACAAATTACCGCAGGTTAGGCTTAAAGGCTAACCCTATTGGACTTAGAAATGTGTTTCTTTTGGCTGTAGTCTTAACACCTAAAAAATTTGTGGAAACTAACGCTTAACAGCTAAATAAGTAAAGAAAATCTAATACTAACAGCTAATTACTAATGATTATTAGGGCTGTGTATTGGCAAGAATTTGGCGATACGATACATATCATGACAGAGGGGTCACGATACGATATATCCC